GTATATTCGGTAATCTGTATGCTGTTGGTGGTCGTGCATTCTTTCTTATGATGGAATTTCTTGCGCATGCGTCAATTTTCCTGTTTCTATGCATATCTTTCATCTTCTCGGTATCTTGTTTTTCGTCCATTATCACTGTCTCTCCTTCTTTATTCGCCTGAAGGACTAATTGTTCATTTGTTCCCAAGGTTTTGCGTAACCTGGAAAATCTGTTTCTGCGACCAAACCGGGGGCCACACCATCTTGGTCTTCTTGTCCTCGAATAAAAATTTTCGCATATTAGTAGGTTTTCTTGACCTACTCGAAACTCTACTTACAAACGAAAAGCAAGTAATGCAGTCGATTTGCATAGCAAATACAACATTGTTTCATCGACATTCCCACCACAGAATGTGATATGGCAAAATTCTTGGCTTTCATTGAAATTCTTATTTGGTCTGTGGCCAAAGGGCACTCTTGGCAATGTGGCGTAGTGGTTAGCATGTCGAGACTATACTCTGAACCATCGCGATTTGATTGAATGAATGAGAATAACTATTGGGAATGGAATGTTATGTGAAATTCAATAGAAACACAAGGTCTACTCATGTGATTTTGGCAAGACTCAACCACCAGTCCCCTTATCACCTTAAAGGAAACAGGGAGAATATGCCTTATAGTAAATAAAATTAAATTTCCTTAATCGCAAGTCTCCTAGAGGATAGCATGAAGAGATATGTAGCCGTCGTCAGCGTAAAACATTTCACCAACTATGCACTCAAAGTATGTCCCGAGGAAGCCTCACACTGTCAGGATAAAGAAGACGGGTATTCAAGTGTTTAACTCTAAAATCGCAATGGATTTGTAGTTGCTCGTACTCTTTCCAGACTTCGGGTAGTGACTTGAAGCATAAATTATTGGTTTAGGTGACCACATTATTCAAGTGAATTTAGTCAAAGAGAATGTCTTTCGGAGAGACCGTAATAGATTACTCAAATTCTCCAATTTCTCTGAATGAGTCCATAGCTTCGAGGTCTTTCAAGAAACTGACAGAGTTGGCTTGATAATATACCTAAAGTATGCACCCATCTTCTGGCCAGAAGGTAAACTAAATTTAAAAAATAGTCCAAATGCCAAATCAAAAAAAGTATTATATTGTGAGTTTTGAACCCTGAAAAATTCGTCCTGAAATCTTCTTCAATCCGCAGATTGCATTAAATATGTTCAAAAATTCTTCCCAGGATTAGACAAAATACTTACTGTTGGTGGCACCAAATTAGTTGTCGTGTAAAGCATTGAAGCTTTTTGTAATATGTGGAATTAAATTGCATTCTGGCTTTTACTAATTTTATTGTATGAAAATTCAACTACCTATCCTTTAATCACTTTAAGCCATATCGGATGAGTAGAGCTCTTATTCAAGATCCACTGACGGTCTCGGAAGCTTACTTAATTCGAATAATAGTTATGAAAATTTTGTGTACAGGTTGCCTGCTGCACAATAGCATTAAGTTAGTGGAGAATATTTTATTCTTTCAGTTCATAAAGCCGCCATGAGATATATCCTGGAATGATAGAAAAGGAAGAATAAATTATACACTCATCTTATGCAGCTCTATTTTACAACCAACTTGTCGGGTTGACACTTACAAGTCCACTAGGGCCGTTCCATTCAATTTGCCCAAGTCAATGTCTCGAGATAAATTTCCGGAATATGCTATCGCTTTGCGGATTACCCATGTCTCAGCTACAAACAAGCGGCTAGGGAAGGTATGCATATAGCCTGGGTTTCCAAATTGTCAGTAAATTTTGAAAAAGAGTTTTAACCACCCTTAGTTGCATAAGTTGACAAATGACCGATAGATGAAATTTGCTATAATCGTATGAATTAACCTCACTTTTCTTTTAAAATTCATTTAGTCATCGAAGATATGAGGACCAAGAGGGTGTTGCCCCTGGTATGTTTGCAGTCTCCTTCGAATGTATAGAAGTGGGTTGACCTCATTTTTGCAACTTGATCTTGTTGTCAGACCGACTTAGTTGGACTCACCTTGTCCGAAGTCCTCTACCATAGTAGTTATCATAGCTCCCAGCGTCAGAACATGAACTTTGTACATTTTAATCTTTGATAATTATGTTAACTACTATGATAGAGGACTTCGGCCAAGATGCGCCCAACTAAGTCGCCTTGACAACAGGACCTAATTGAAAAAACTAGATCAACCAACTTCTTTACTTAGTCATGTTTTTCAAAAGGTTGTCTTTTCCAGGGTGGATTAGGCAGCAGTTTTGATCGCGTATGGGTCTCAAATGTACCACCAGCGGGACTCAAAGCCGAAACTGGAAATCTTTTTGAAGGTTTACTGATAATTTTAAAGCCTACTTTATACAAATATAAGTAAAACACAAGATCGCCTCATCGAAAATCCCATTATAGTATAGAAATTGGTTGACCTCGTTTTCGCAACTCGGTCTTGTTGTCAGGGCGACTATGTAGAACGCACCTAATCCGAAGTTGTCTGCTATAGTAGTTTTCATGATTTCCAGCATCTGACAGTGGACTTGGTACATTCTCAAACGTTTCGCCGGCATCTTAGTCGGCATCATCAGTGAGTCTCTTTAGAGACTTCACATCACACTCGCTATTCACCCCGACCCCTCTCTTTCGATGGGTTTATCCGACTCGGTCCTCCAATCCGGATCCCCTCATTGTCTCGTAGATCTGTTCTTTCTCTTTCCGGTTGACCGATTTCACTCGGTTCCAGTCCCAGTGTGCATTTCACTCCTGTCGCTATTTATCAGGGCCCGAGAAGCACGTACACTGCCGCTTCACTGAGCAGAACG